ATGATATCAGGTAGAAGCAATAGTCTTAGAAATGACAATGAAGATAACAAAATGGTGGATAACACATGTCTTTTATTTATAGTGATTTTACTTATCACTTATAGTTCCCTTTGAGACTGGTTGCTGGGGTAGGAGTTGGGAATAGGTTACCCTATACTGATTTTCTTCTTTTTCCAGGATCAGTCCCAGGCAGTGCTGATCAGGGAGGAGAGGTTCAGCTCACAGTCACTGCTATGCAGGATTTTGCAGAGTTTGGTAATCTTTGTTCCTACTTAAAATCTACATGACATCGTTAGGTGATGTCATCCAATGGCATAGATGAATATCATCAGTATGGTGATTATACCCCTCTACATCTAGCCACTCACTTAATACGCTGTCTCAATATCTGGAAGCAGTGGGAGCTTAGATGGGAAATACCAGGCTTCAGTTCAACTTTAGCAAGACTGTTTTAAGTACTAGGTTCTCCTAGGTCTGGTGATTTTTTCATCGTTCTAAATGAGATTATGCTAAGAAAAATCAAAGATAAAAGTACAGATTAAGCAAGACCTGGCTCAAAAACAGTAACTGTGAGAGGGACCTTGGAGTCCTAGTGGATGATAACTTGAATATGAGCCAGCACTGTGCAGCAGCAGCCAAAAAGCTAATACAATCCTGGGTTGTACAAACAGAGGCACAGAATCAAGATCACACGAAGTACTAGTACCACTTTATAAAACCCTAGTAAGACCACACCTGGAATACTGCAACCAATTTTGATCACCGTATTACAAAAAAAGATGTTGAGACTTTGGAAAAAATTCAGAGAAGAGCAACTAAGATGATCAAAGGCCTGGAGACTAAAGCATATGAAGAAGGGCTGTAGGAATTGGGTCTGGGTAGTCTAAAGAAAAGAAGAAATAGAGGTGACATGATAGCAGTATTTGAGGGACTGCCATAAAAAAGAGGGGTCAAATTACTCTCAAAAGCACCAGAAGGCAGGACAAGAAACAATGGTTGGAAACTGATCAAAGAGAGAAGCAACCTGGAATTAAGGAGAAACTTCCTAACAGTGAGGACAATTAACCAGTGGAACAGTCTGCCTTCAGAAATTGTGGGCACTCCATCACTGGAGATTTTAAAGAAGAGACTAGACAGTCACTTGTCTGAAATGGTATATAGACTCTCCTGCTTGAGCAGGGGGCTGGACTAGAAGACTTCCATGATTCTATTCTATTTCTATTCCTATTCCAAACAGAACTTTTATGCGACTCAGAGATGGTAGTAGTGATGGTTAAACTCATGCCTCCTGTTTGGAGAATGAGTGGCAGCAAAGGCCAGGAGGACCTTTGTGCAACTTTGTGTTATTTGATTTGTTTGTCACTCATTTCACTTTGAGGGGACTCTGGATGGCTTACAAACATTAAAAGTCAATAAAACCATGAACAATAAATATTCCTAATAACAGTAATAAATTTCAATGAACAATATGGGGAGGAGGAAGGAAGCAGGATACATTTGGAGGTAGGTGGGATCTTCTCTTAATCTGTCAACCACCTCCAACATGATACATCCCCATTGGGGCCCAACAAGCAGAGTCAGGTCTGCAGTCCCTTACAGAAGGTCAGAAGGGTGGGAACGGTTCTTACATCAAGGGGCAGGCATCACAGCAGAACAAGCTCTTCACCTGGACCCCATCAGTCAAAATTCCTTCTGCTGACATGGATGGGGCAGGCCAGTTCCATTGGGATGAGATTGTTCCTCAGATAGCTTGAACCCATGCCATGCAGGGCTTTAAAGGCCAACACCTTGGATTGCATATGAAAGGCAAACAGGCAGCCCTTGAAATTCACGGAACAGAGGTGTAACATGGGACACTCTATGGCACGGGTGTCAAACTCGCCACGTCACCTGACACAATGTATCGCAACTCTTTTTGCATTGTCGGCAATGGCGTGGGCATGCCTTCAGTATGATGAAACCGGCCCGTGGGCCAGCAGTTTGACACCCCTTCTCTATGGGCTCTAAGAACTGTCTCCGCCACTCACTCTGCACCAGTTGTAGCTTCTGAATGCTCAAGGATAGCCCAATGTAGAGTGCATTGCAATAATTGAAGTGTGAGAGGACCAGGCATGAGTGACTGAGCACAGGGACTCCTGATTCAGGAAAGGGTGCAACTGGAGTACAGCATGAAGTAATGCAAAGCCCTAAATAAAACTAGGATATATCTAATGAGCCAATATGGTTGAAGAGGCAGCTTCAGAAGAAACTGAGACTATGAAAAAAACCTTATCAGAAAGTTTCTACTCAGAAATGTAGGAATGTAGAATGAAGGCAGAAAATGAACTTAGGGTAGTTAAAGACAGCAAAACCAGTAAGAAGGGATTCTAGAAATACACTAACACAAGGAAAATAAAGATAGTATAGGCTCACTGCTTTACTGCAAATCAAGAAAGTAGATTATCAAGAGAAAGCAAAATAACTCAATTATCATTTTGTCTTTATATTTATATCCAAAGCAAATGATTGTTTGAGTAGCAAACATAAACATGAGAAGATGCAGATCTGTAAGGATGTAGTAAAAGATCTTATACTAATTTGAATGCCTTCAAGACATAGGTCACATTAAATACATGCCAGAATACTAAAAGAAGAGCTGGTTGAAGAGCAGTTAGAATCTTTGATAATTCCTACTAGAAAAGTTGAAAGGTGCCAGAAAATTGAAGAATGATAAATATAGTCCACCTTTGCAAGAAGAGAAAAAAAGAGGATCCCAATAATTATAGTGAGCCTAACATCAATCCCTAGAAATATGTCAGTACAGGCAATAATAGATCAAGCCACTTATAAGCATCTCAAAGACAGTGTTGCTAGTAAAAACATGGCCCTGTCAAAAATAGATAAGGTGGGACAAATCTCTTATGTCAGGCTAAGTAGTCCATGGATAAGAGGAATGCTGTGGATATACATTACCTGGATTTCATAAAGTTTTGGACAAGACTCCACGTGACCTTCTCAGTGATAACCTGTTAGGTAGTTTGAGCAACACTTCAGAAAGATAGATTCACAACTGGCTGATTAAATTGCACATAAAGTCAGCATCAACTTGGATAGCAGTCACCGGTGGGATCTCACAGGAATCAGTCTTAGTCTTATTTTATTAATGACCTGGATAACAGGATTAGTGAGCTGCTCATCAAATGTGTGGATATTACATTGAGACATGTGGCCAATACCCAGGATGATAGAATGAGATTGTAATTTAATCTTGACAGATTGGAAAACTAGATTGAGAAAAATACAATGTTTTTCAACAGAGAAAAATGTAAAGTATTACATTTGGGGAGAGAAAATATTGGACCACAAAAAATAAAGGATTTATGGCTTGAAAGTAAAGAACTATATCAGCAGATAATTTTGGGTGCAGTCATTCATAGGAAGCTGAACATGAACTAGCAGGAGATAAACACTAGGAAATCTAATGCAATTCTGGACTGCAAGAATACTGTATCATCAGAAAAACAACACTTGGGGTATTGAGTACCTCATTTCCAGAACGATAAGTCAGAATAGACTCAGAAGAGGGTGACAAAGATACAGATTTGAGAATATGCTCTATGGGGAGACAGAAGGAAGTTGGAATGTTCAATATAAAGAAAAAACCAAAGGAAGACATGTCAGTAATAAGGGACATAAAAAGGTGCCATAGGAAAAATAATCAGAAACTACATGGCCATACTTTACATAAACTGGAGCTACTTAGATTTTATTTAAATGTCAGGAACAATTTCCTACTTCTTAGATCTCCACAACAGTGGAGACTGTAGGCTTTCCGTCTCTCGAAAACCACCTCTTGAGTATGGTTTAATTGATTTTTTTTTTCTGTGCAGTGCAGAAGTTGAACTAAATTCCTAATGGTTCTTCCAGAATTCTAGATTTCCATAAAAATGTGTAGCTTTATAATACAAGAGGAACTAGAAACATTCTACTGTAATACCAAATAAATCAAGGAACATATACCATCCCAAAATAAAATATAGAACCTATTGGGCTGATACAATAGCTAGGTTAAAATCACTCAGCAAGCTTCTATGACTCAGGGTGACTAGAAGACACTTCTGTTATTCCAAAACTTTAAGCATACTTTATTACAATTACTGGCTCAGCCATCATCTACAATCTAGTTATTTATAGTTTCAAGTATTTTCTTAAGCTTCACGCAGAATATCAATATTCCTCCAAAACTGAAAAAATGTTTTGCAAGCTGGTTCACTCTATTGCTATGAATATATTCAGTATATATGGTAAAAGTTTGAATTAAAGTTCAGATAAGCATTCCATTACCCTTTCCTTCAGTGACTACACCACCAAATATTGAAATGGGATGAAATTAGTGTGACTGTAATGATTGTAAAACATCACCACCTGCCAGTAAGCTCAGATATCATTAAGGTTTCTAATATATGAAATGTCAGAAAAAATATCAAATATTCTTAAACCGCGTTTTATCGCAATATTCTCTTTTTAAAAAAGAAAAAGCGCATGTTGCTCCATATTAAAAATGTGTGGTGTTTGGTTCTCTTGAAATATTTAAAAACACTTAACCAGACGACGTATTTCATCACATCTCCATGATCGCTCTCCAAGACCTCCAAACATCAAGTACAAACTCTAGCGGTTTCCAGTTTAGACCTTCCAATCTTCAGCCTCGCGTAACTCCCAAATATACCACACCCCTTCACACTCACTTTCCTAATCTGACCGCGTGCGTAACTTTGAACGGCAAAATTTCTTACGGTCGGCTTGACAAACACCCCTCGCTCCTCCACAGCTCGTGTTACTTGGGGTCAATATTAAAGGCGAAGGGAGGAGGAGCTTTAAAGAAACTTGAGAGCGAAACGCCGTCATTTCGACATCCCTAAGCCAAAAAAAAAAGTAGTGCTGCTACTCAATTTGACAACTTCTCCCACCTAACGCCGCCGCCACCACCCCTCCCCGCCACCTGCAGCGGCCTTTCTCACCCGGGTCCTGCGAAGTTAACTCGCCGCCCGAGGAAGCGTTGGAAGGAGATAAACTACTACCAGAGTTGGGGGGAGGCTTCCAACGCGTCCAGGGATTCTCTTTAGGCGGCGGTGCCTCGACCACATGACACGGCTGCGGCCTCCCCCGTTGCCACTTGTCGTTGTCCTCGTTGTCCTCTTGCTGTCGTTGCAACTGCAAGCCCTCGGTGGAGCCACTTTCCCGGGAAGCTTCAGTTACTTGGCCGGAAGGAAGCAGGAACGGCTCCCGATGGTTCTCTTCGAGTAACCAGGCCCCACCATTACTCTTCTCCGCACCCCGAGATGGTCGTTGCGGGGCAGCCGCTGACATGCCGAGAAGGAGCCGCCGCACTGCCCGGCACACTCCTCTCCCTCCGTTCCCTGCTGGGCAGCAGTAGGGAGAGAAGCAGGGCGCTGAGAGATCGGAGCGAAACTGAGAGAAGCTCCGTGCTGCGAGCTGGGCCGCCCCACGGGGGCTGAGGCTGGAGGGGAAGCGCCCCCCCCGCCTGAACAGCGGCCTCCGGGGGCGGCGTTGTTCCTACACCTCAAGGGGTGATTCAACCGCCACCGCCCTACGGCGGGAAGGAAGGGAGAGACCGTGCGTAGCGCGCGGGAAAAAAAAAAAAAACTAGGGTTCCCGACGAGGAGGGGGTGATTAAGAGAGTCAGTTTTCGAGGGCCTGGTTAACACCGTCACAGCTGTCACGTGCGTGCTATCTCGCGCCGGGGGAGGGGCAGGGTGGGTGGGAAAGGGGCGGGGATAAGTGCACAAGGAGGGAATAAAAGGAAGAGGAAAAGGCGAAGAACTAGTAAGCAAGGCGATCGCTACGAAGAGGTGGAGTCTTCAAACTCTTCGATCCGTTGTGACATCACAACGGCCAGCAGCGCAGAGTGGAGCATATTCTTATTTTTCTTATTTTTGTTTCCCCCCCCCGCTCATGTGGGGGAGAATTTAGTCAAAAGGGAGGAAACCTATTTTTCGGCCAAAGACCTCTGCATGGGAGATCAGGAGGAAACTAAGTTGTGCTGACAAAAGCCTTGGAAAAAAATCTAGGACGCACATTTTTAATACGTCTTTCCAGTGAGAAAGAACTATCGATGGCCACTTTTGCACTATGATTTGTGAACTAGTTGGTATCAGTTCATGGGATTTTGCCCATGCTTAACTGTTTACGAATCAAAAGCACAGGGTGCTTTGTCAAATAATGCTTAACTAAGATAGAGATGATAAAATGAGATATGATTTCTGGTAATTACACTATTTTTAAGGCATTTACACATACTTCTTTTTAATTATCTGCTCTAGAATATCTGACAGTTGAATGCCGAAGTTTTCTTTTTGCCAGTGTTCAAACAGTTCCCTTGCCATCTCTCCAGGATCATGGTGGTTCCATCAGAGGATCATCTAATTCTTTCAGTATCTTAGTGTACAATTCATCAGGTCTTGGTGATATAAACTCAGATTATATATATATTTCCTGGCCATGTTTTTATCACTTTCAAGTTCAATCCTGCCCTTTCATTGTGCTCCTTGCTTTTTTCTGGTGGAACAGGGTTTGTTTTTGAGAAGACTGGAGCTGAGCAGTTCCACATTTTTGGTTTCTGATTGTTTTTTTCAGTACTCTTATTTCTAAAACGACCTTTTATTGTTATTAGCATATCTTACTAGTGTTTGAGCTTTTGTTTCCTTGATATGAGCTCTACAGTTCTAGCTATTTATTTGTACCATTCCTTTCTAATCTAATCCTTTTTCCATTTCTTGTATGCTGATTCAATTGTGATGAGCTGAAGGAATAAAATGCAGTTTACTTCAGCTTCTTTGTCATCCTCTTCCTCTATAGGATTTTAAGCAGTTTTGCAAATTTACTTCAAAACACAATTTAGATTTGTATTCTTATGTGTTTAGAAGCTTAAAAACACTTTATGAAGTCTACAAAATAAGTCAGAGGTGTTACTTATAGTTGTTGGAAAATATAAAATACAATTCAGACAAAATGTACATTTTGTTTGTGTTCACTTAACTGATACTTAAATCTATATACTACTAAAGCAGTGGTTCTCAACCTGTGGGTCGGGACCCCATTTGGGGTCGAATGACCATTTCACGGGGGTCGCCAAACCACGCTGTCCACCATTTTTTTCCCTTTTCCCTAGCTGTCCTACTCCCTCTTATTAGTGGCCACACCCACTTGGGGGTCACCACAACATGGGGAACTGTATTATGGGGTCATGGCATTAGAAAGCTTGAGAACCACTGTACTAAAGTATGATTCTTGTCATGATCTTTAACTGGACAGAATGATGCATCATAGGCAACTATTTTTAAACCAAGATACTCCAAATGGCTAACCTATGAAGTGTTTCCACAATTTGGGACTAATGACTTTAGGGAATGAAATTTTGTTGCTGCTTCAGTGCTAGTGGCCTCTTCTGGGGTCATGTGATTTTCATTTTCTGTGGTGGTCTCCCATGGAGAATGAGACACGCACGCAGGTATCTCGGGATGGGAGCCCAGAGCTGACTCCAACACCCTATTTTATTGTTACTATAGTTTTTACATCACACAGCGTAATCAAAAGACGTGTATAGGGGTGGTTACAATGTATCACATAACAGACACTCTCCAGATGCAAGGCTATGCAGGTGGGTAATGATTCATGCATCCTGCTTCCCGTGTTCTTATCAGACCCTGTCCAAATGGCTGATGAATGTGTTCCGTGTCTGGAGCAGTCTGTTTGTTATCTCAAGGACTTTGTGGGAGCATGTCTATGGGCATATTTATGCAATTAATTCCACATCTCCTCCTTTTGTGTTTTTTTAATGTTACTCACTTCCAGTTCCAGAAGGGATCTTGATTCACTGATTAAGGCGTCCTTCCTAGTGGAGCGCGTAACATATTTGCACATTTGCAGGAGGGAGGGAATACATTGAATGCAACAACATAGCAATACAATTAATATCAAAATGGTTACTATAATAGAAATCAAAGATCGTAGCCAGGATCCATCCGGTAGCCAGGACCAAAGGGCACCCCAGATATCCACGGTGCCTGATCCATCACTGCGTAAGGGATTATTTTGGATCATAGATTCCATTTTCCTTGCTGTAGCTGAAATATTAGGTTGAAAATCATGTATATACATACAACAATGAGAATGAATTAAAGCACATACACCGCCTTTTGCTGCTAAAATAATATCTAAAGCATACCGATTTTGCAAAACTACTTCCCTTATTTCCCCCATTTCTTGATTAATCATTTTAATGCTGTTGATTGTTTCATTAAACATATGAACAGTCCAATTGTTAAGCAAATGAAGGTCCCTATAGTTCATGGCAACTCCTAGATTGGGCAATATTCCTCTGCTGATTTGAGTCTCTAAACTACCACCCAATGTTAGGGGTGGATCCGAGGAACCAGTATCACGTTTGTTCCTCAGGCGTCCATCAGGGAGATGAGGCAAGGCATATACAGCAGGGGTCAAAAGGCCCAGTGTACAGGTGCCTTTCCAATCCTTAGGCACCTGGCGATAGGCTCTACAGCCACATAGTAGCCGTATATCGGGTAACTCATAATAACCCTGGCGAGACTCATTAGCAAATGTTATTATGGATTCCATGTCAAGGCAAGCCATGTAGGTACTGATGTTTGTCCATTGATTGCTTCGATAAGTGTCATTTATCTTAGTAAGGTTGCTTTTGATGGATTTGCATTTCTTAGCTGAATTCCATATAATAACTTGTTGACAATTACTATAATTTCCCAAATAAGTGGCAGTACGGAATAGTCCTGTGCTATAAAAACAAAATCTGGCAGGTTCCATTATATGAGCGCCCACAGCATATGTCATATTCAATGTCTCTGTAGTTATGTTCCACAGCTGCTTCCATCCTGTTTCATTGGACGGGAGGGCATGAAAAATGAGGCCACCATGACTGTCACCAGGAATTTGCATGCAAATCCAACAGTTCATGACGTTAAGTGTAAGAGCAGTGCGCCTGGCATCCCGTACAAGAGCATTAAAAGCCCACATTCCCTGATCCTCATATGCCTGGCTGAGGTGGTGTATGTTGAGCCATATAAGGATGAACACAACGAGCTGGAGTCCAAATGATCTCACCATGGTCGTCTATTGCAGCGTAGCCTCAACCCCAGGTAATGAGGGAGGCAGGCCCTTTCCAGGTGGGATCAGGCAAACGTCGATAGTATACTTGGGGGCGTGAAAAATCTGTGGGAGAAGCAGAAAAATGCCTGCTTGCGGCGGTTGAGCCAGGGGTGCCAGAAACATTCAAAAAGTTTAAGGTAAAAAGTACAAGATTAAGTGTTTTGTATCCCAGGCAAGCCGGGGGTATTTTCCCCTTTCTTTTTTGCATGCATGTCTAGAGCCCTTTTTACGGTCTGATTGGCTCGTTCCACGATCGCTTGACCAGTGGAGTTATATGGAATGCCAAATTTATGAACAATAGACCAGCGAGAGCAAAACTGCGCAAAGGAGGTGTTGGTATAAGCAGGAGCATTGTCCGTTTTAATTTCTTTTGGATTGCCCAGGGTAGAAAAGGTACGAATACAATGATTAATAACATGTTTAGCAGACTCACCCCTTTGAGGGGTGGCCATAATAAAACCTGAATAGGTGTCAATGGAAACATGCAAATATTTCCAGGGGGCAAATGGCAAATATTGTGTAACATCCATTTGCCAAAGTTGACAGCTCTGCGTCCCTCTTGGGTTGACCCCTTGAGGAACAGAGTGTGCTTGGAGGCTGCAGGTGGGACATTGTTGTATGATAGCCGCAGCTTCCGTAGCCGTTAAAGAAAATTGTTTCATTAAAGCCTTCTTATTTTGATGAAAATATGAATGGCTGTCCCATGGGGTTATGGGAGATAAAACAAGGACAGAGACGTCCTGGTGAGTCGAGGCGGCCGAAGCGGCAGCATCCGCCTTGGCATTGCCTTCGGAGATAATACCAGGGAAAGGTTGGTGACTTCTAATATGAGCAGGAAAAAAACAAGTAGAGCGGGAATGAAGAAGGGATTGGAATGTGAGAAATAGACTGAGGAGAGAGTCATCCAGTGAGGGTGACACATATGAGTCAGATAAAGAGGTGAGAACTTTATATACATAAAGACTATCTAAAATAAGATTAAAAGGTTCAGAAAAAAAAGTTTGTAAAGCCAATATTATAGCGGCAAGTTCAGCACGCTGAGCAGAAGTTTGAGGAGGAGTAATTTTTGTATGCCATTGTTCACCCTCCTTCCATACACATGAACCATAAGTCTTGCTGCCATCAACATACAGGGTGACAGCGTTAGGAATGGGAGAGGAGGAAATGGGAGAATGCAGAGAAATTGAAACATTATTAAGGAGTTGGAAGCGAGGGTCAGAGGGAATATGACAGGAAACAGATCCTGCCCAGTCAGCAAGAGAAAGTTGCAATACATCTGAAGAGGCAAATAAAGGTTCCCATATAGTAAGAGACATGGGGACATATAAAAAAACAATATCAAATCCAATTAAACATTTTGCTCGAAAACGGCCCTTCGTAATTAAAAGAGCAAACATATATGGCAGTGGATTGATAGATTTGCGAGGGGTATTGGGGAGGTGAATCCATTCAACAATGGAGACCCTCCCCTTTTGATGTTGGAGAAGGGCAGCTGTAGGAATAGAGGGAGTATTAAATATGGCCAAAGACA